CTCTGTCTATCCTGCTAGGGCGCTGAGTCAGAATTGACAGCAGTGCATTTCGTTGGGTGATTGAAGGACTGCATGGCTCCTTTCAGATTTTGATCATTACACATAAAGCTGTTACTACAGCTTTATGAATATGTGTGTACAGGTTTTCATCTGAACTTAAGGTTTCAACTCAGCTGGATAAATACCTAGGAATGCAACTGCTAGATTTTATGATTGAGCTTTGCTTTGTTGTTGTTGTTAAGTACCGTGGAGTCGGTTCTGACTCATAGTGACCCTTCACAGGGTTTCCGAGGCCATAAATCTTTACAGGAACAGAAAGCCTCATCTTTCTCCCATGGAATTAGCTTTGTAAAAAAAAACTACCGAACTGCCTTTCCAAGTGGCTGTTCCATTTTGCATTCCCACCAACAGTGAATAATAAGGGTTCTTGTTGGTCCACATGTTTGCTAGTATGTAGTGTCATCGGGATTTTGGATTTTAGCCATTCTAGTAAGTATGTCCTTGTGGACAAAATATATATTTTGCTAAAGAAGACACACACATATATATTTTGTCCATTTATACAAAAAGGAGCTCTGGTAGCGTAGTGGTTACAAAGCAGGCTGTTAACTTCAAGGTCAGCAGTTTGAAACTACCAGCAGTTAGTTCCACAGGAGAAAGGAGGCTTTCTGCTCCCATAAAGATTTACAGCCTCGGAAATCCTAGGCAGGGTCGCTATGAGTCGGAACCGACTCCAAAGCATATAATCATCACTACCGCCATGAAAAATTCAGTTGTTTGGGGGTTTGTTCTGTTGGTTTTTCCTTATTGTTGAATTTTTAAATTTTATTTAAAGTTTTTATTGTGGATTGAGTAAAAGTTTACAGAGCAGATCATCAGTTTTACATTCCACAAATCATACACCTTGTTTCACTGCAATGATTATAATCCCCTCCATGTACCCTCAGTTACCAGCGTTTCTCTCTATTCACTTCAGCTTTTTTTTTTAAAACAGTCAGGCATATATAATAATTTACACCACAAAAGGACACATTCTGCAAGTTACTGTTGAATTTTGAGACTTCTGTCTATATTGTGAACACAAGCTCTTTGTCAGATAAGTGTTATGCACATATTTTCTCCCAGTCTCTAACTTTTCATTCTCTGATCAATATATCTTTGGCAGAGCAGAAGTTTAAAATTTTAACGAAGCCCAACTTACCAATTTTTCTTTTATGACTAGTTCTTTGATAGTGTTGTTAAGTGGTGCCATCGAGTCAGTTCCCTTATGCACAACAGATCGAAGTGCTGCCCAGTCCTCCGCCACGCTCACAATTACTTTTATTAATTTCTTGGTTGGTTAGATTTCACCATCAACTGATATTTTCAAGAAGGACCCAGGTGGTATTCCCTGAAGTCTTCTGCACTGTCTGTCTATTCAAGTAACCACAGGTGGACAGTTCAAAAACCCTCTGCTTTGCAAGAGAAAAATGAGTTTGTCTGCTCTCATCAAAATTGCAATTTCGAAAACCCTCTATAGGATTATCAACCACAATCGAGTTGATGGCAGTGGGTGGGTCTGCTGTTGCCTTTCCACTGGGAGACAGTTTGGCGGGACGTGCTTTCTTCTCCCTCGAATTTATTGACATCTCTCCTCTGTCACCTGAAATTGTGTTAAACCAGTTTCTTAGTTTTTGTTGCTGTTGTTATTGTTTTTTCTCATTCACTACTTTTCCTCTTCCTTTTTGAATTAGAATTGCCGTCGTCAAAGAATATGCGTGAGCTTGCACTTGCGAGAATTATTACTAGGGCTATAGCACAGCCGTATTGCTTCGATATGAACCGTAGCAGCTATAGAGTGGGAATCATGCATCTTTGTTTTCCTTCCCAGAGATCATCGACGACCTTACCAGCCTGGTGGAGAACACAGATGAGAAGCTACGCACTGAAACCAGGCGTGTGAATTTGGTGGACAGAAAGTTGACATCTTGTGGTAAGTCACAACTCTGCTTACAGTTCTACTTCTCTGATGGACTGTGGATTGGCTCTGCTTGAGTTTCCCTCGTCCTCGGGGGATCTGGTTGTGCTTCTGAAACGGATAGTCGTCTTGGCTGCAGCGTTGGCATTGCTAAAAGATGCTTCAATCTGGTTAAAAATGAAATGAAGTAGCATGATGCATTTTTTTTTTTTTTTTTAATTAAGAAGACTTTCTGTTTATGGACAATCCTAGTTTGGGAAATTGTGTGGCACTAAGAAAAGGACATCATGGTTGGTAAAGTAGAGGGTCAGAGGGTCGGCGAAAAAGAGGCAGACCCCCCAATGAGATGGGTTGGCACAGTGGCAGCAGCAATGAGCTCAAGTGTAGCAATGATTGTGAGGTTGGTGCAGGACCAGGCAGCGTTGTGTTCCATTGTGCAGAAGGGTGCACCCAGCAACAACAATGTCGGTGATTGGTGGTGGACCTTGTGGGTTTAAAGGTGATTCGCCTGCATCTGTGCCTTTGAATCACAAACATAACTGTTGAAGCTTGAGTTGCAGGCTAGTTAAGAGTCCAGGTTCTGGAGTTCAGTGGGGATCAAAGCCTACGTTTAGTAATGTGTTCTTTGACTAGTCACTCTACCTCCTGATAGTTCATGAGGGGGCCCTAATGGTGCATTGGATAAGCTCCTGACTGCTAACAAACCAAAATATGAACGGTTTACCAGAGAGAGATGTGATACGTTCCCCCATAAAGATGACACTCTTGGAAACGCAGCGGGAGCGTTCTCTGCCCTCTAGGTTCCTTGTGAATTGGAATATGGGCTGCATGGGAACTGGTTTGGATTTGCTTTGGATGCCAAGTTAAGAATCACGTGGAGTATTTGCTTAGAATTCTGATTGCCAGGTCCTCCTGGGCAGATTCCGACCGTGTCAATCTAGGGAGGTGTTTCTAGAGTCCTGGCAGTGTAACAGTCAGCAGTTCAAACCCACCAGCCGCTCTGTGGGAGAAAAAAACAAGTAGCCTGTTCCTATAAAGATTATAGTCTAGGACATTCCGTGGGGCAGCTCAGTGCTGTCTTACAGGGGTACTACAAGGGTGGTTATTAAAAGGAGTTCTGGTATGGTGCTGTAGGATAAGCACTAGACTGCTAACCACAAAGTTGGCAGTTCAAACCCAACAGCTGCTTTTTGGAAACCCCATACAGGGTTACTATGAGTCAGAATCGACTCAAGGACACTTAACACCAACAAATGACACACAGGCGGAGTTCAAGAGTATTCATTATTTAATAAGTTTGTTGTTGTTAAGGGCCCTCAAGTCGGTTCTGACCCACAGTGACCCCGTATAGGGTTTCCGAGGAACAACTGGTGAGGTTGAACCGCCGACCTTGAGGTTCAAACCGACTTTGCATTCCAGTGCATTAACCCACAGCCCCATGCTTGGAATCCATATAAAAATAAGTAAGTCTAGCAGTTCCAATGCGGGGATTTGTTATTTTGCAGACACTCTGGTGTAGATTTTTGTGAGGTTAAAATTGTTGCGTGCATGCAGTGCCCTGCCACAAAGGGCACTTAAGAGTAGTAGTAATAGCAGTGAGTGTTCTCTGGTGCTGCTCTCATGAAGGCGGGCCATGGTAAAGCTAACAGCTTTTCTCAAAGTAGAAATACAAGACGAATAGGAGAACTGAGCACATTAGCTTTGCCCAACGTTTAGCCCTTTCAAGACGAAAAGTATAATGGAATTTCCTTCTCTGTTCAGTTTTAGAATAAGGGTCAGTTGAGATGTGCAGCTGAAGAAATATTGCCTTCCTTGCCACCCATGCTCATTGGATGAAACTGAAAACTCTAGAACAATAGGGTGGGTGGAGATCAGGGAATCGTCTCATCTGGAGCTGTGGGGGCACAAGAATCTTGAGGGGTTTTCCTGTTTGCCCTTACCACCTGATTCTGTATCCCCTACCCCTAGAGAATCTCGTCCTTCTGTTAGCAACCCACTCCATCCTGTTTCTCTTCCAGTAGCCATGTGTCCATTTCTGCTTTCCTGGAAGAATCAAAGCCACCCCGATTTTGCTTTGCCAATCTTCTCACACAAGTTCTGTCTACAGGAACTTTGTTGTTCACACTGGATGGTAAAACTTTGGAGGCAGAGATATGGGTTAACTGCCTCCACTGCCTCTTACTATCTCTGGGTCTTGTATAAACAATCTTGCTAAGTCTTCGTTTCTTCAGCTGGAATAAAGATGGCTACCCTGAGAGTCAAAATTAAATTATATAGATACATAATGTGCCTAACACTAACACAAAAGAGGAAGAGCCCCAGTGAAGTGGATTGGCACCATAGCAGCAACAATGGCGCAAGACGAGGCAGGGCTTGTTCTGCTGTGCATGGCCTCGTGCTTTTCTGTATGTTTGTGGAAAATTGTGAGCAAGCAGCAGAGGAGGGTGTAGGGATGGTGGAGGATGTGGGCTCAAACCCAACTCCACCACTCACCAGCCAGGGGATCTCAGTAAAGTCACATAACTACCCTTACCTTATTGATTTCCCCCATCTGTGAAATGGACATAATGCATCTGTACTTCAGAGAGTGATTGTGAGGAATAAAAATCTCATGGAAAAATTCCATTATCTTTTCATTCCATTTTTCCAGAAAAGATCACTTTGAACAGTGTTTATGAGCAAGTATATCTTTTATTAGGACATGTGTCAAGTAGGGAGGGGCTTCACAGTTAAGTGAAACTTCCCTGAGGCCTCCTTCATGTGTGAAGCAATCATGTTACTACCGATTTGGAATGGTTATCTTTATTGATGTAATAATGATTTTTCAGAATATTTGCAATGTAGTGTCCATCAGCAACATTTCTTTTAATGGAAATACTTTAGGGAGAGAGTCTCTTATCTCTTGAGTTGTTTTTTTCTAAAATTTCCTTACCAGATTCACCAATCAAAAAAAAAAAAAAAAAAAACCTAGGGAAATTTTCAGTTACACACATACATTTGCTGATACGGAATGCTACTTCTTGCACATTGTTGATATTTCAGGCTGTGCCCTCTAAGGCTCTTGTTGTTGTTACGTATGGTGGAGTAGGTTCCAACTCAGCGACCCCGTACAGGGTTTCCAAGGCTGTAAATCTTTACAGGAGCAGAAAGCCTCATCTTTTCTCCCACGGAACAGCTGGGAGTTTCGAACTGCCGACCTTGAGGTTAGCATCCTGATTCGTAACCACTATGCTACCAGAACACCTTCTAAGGCTCTTAGAAGATCAGATTTATATGTATGACACCCAACAGGTTCCTTAAATCTTCAGCTGATCAGTATTAAACCGATGAACACCAGGCATACTGTGGGATTTCCTGAGCAGGTCCAGCAGCCCTTGACAAACTTAGACTGATGACTGTTTTGCTCCCAGCCTGTAAACTCTTAGGTACTTTCCTGTCCTCTTTCTTTATCTGATAAAGCCCATCCAAAGGCAGGAGTCAGGGACTTCACAGCCTGAGCAAGCAAGCAAAGAGGGGAGTAGGATGGGAGTGGAATTTAGTGCCCCCCCCCAATTGGAAAGTGTGATAGATCCTTAACACATTAAGCTGGGACCCCAGAGAGCCACACCTTCAGGGTAACAGTGAGCCCAAACTAAACGCTCCTCCTTTTCCCCAGCTCTTGAAGATCGTCACAGACTTGGCACTGAGCAGAATGTTGTTATTGTTGTTGTTAAATGCTGTGAAGTCAGTTCTCACTCATAGTAACCCTGGTGGGTTTGACCCACCAACCTTGTAGTTAGCAGAATAGAAGAAAAAGGAGCAGAGAAAATATGGTTCCAGACAAGTTGTGGTGACAGAAAGCCCCTCCCAGGGACCTGTGCCTTGTTCAGACATACCCAGGGTGGGTTAGGAAGCCTCATATCCTGAATTTGGTTTGAGGGGGTCTTGCCTGTTTTAGTTCCAGATGCCTGGCAGCAAAAGCAAATGAAATCCCATTCTCGGGAAGGCTTATTTGTTTGAGGTCTCTAGGAACCAGCCCCAAGTAGTGTTTTTTAAGGCAATGACCAGCACACAGTCAAAGATAATCTAGCATACATGGAAAGAGGTCAACAGACCATGGAAACCAATCTATATTGACCTGGAACATTAAGATGATCTGACACAGATTATAAAATCAATGATGCTTATTATATGGCAATGAATAAATGACAAGCTTGAACGTATCTTCAGAGGGAAAAAACCCAACCAACTGCCATCAAGCCCATTCCAACTCGTAGTGACCCAATAAAAAGTAACCAAGCACATTGGAAGCAGTAATTGTTACAGAGAGCATGTCGGAATGAAAAATCGCTGACACTTAAGTCTCAGTGGACATATTTACCCACAGTGGTAGGGAGAATCAACCACAGGACAGATCAGGAAAAAAAATTTAAATACCATATTCCCTTTCCATAAATGTTAACATTGAAAAAAAAAAAAAAAAAAAGATACTCAAATGCCACGCAAGGTAAATTAAGACCGTAATAAGAAGGGCATTTGGGAGTCAGAGATAAGGCCAAGAACTTTGAGACCTAACAAAGAGTTGAATACCTGCTCTGCCCAAATTCAAGTCCAGATTGATCATTTTCTACTTAAACACACACACACAAAAAATTGCAAACAAGATCTGTTTTAACTATATGTTGTTGTTGTTGTTAAGTGCCGTCGAGTCGGGTCCGACCCATAGCGACCCCGTACAGGGTTTCCGAGGGTGTAAATCCTTACGGGAGTAGAAACTATATAGACGGTATGGAATTAAGTGGGAATTCAAGTGTAACTCTGTTACTGTTCACATGACACTCTATTACTGTTTAACTCAAGGACTGGTGGGAGTTACGCATAGCAGGCAGTAAGTACATCATCATTTTCCTCAAAGGGGTGCAAAAACAGATTGTGAACCATGAAATGGGCTTTTGTTTCCCTCCCCTCAGCATTTCTTCCTTGCTTGTCTGATAGATCACAAATAGATGCTTTCACAGTGAGGACATTTCTAGTTATAAATACAGACCAAATTACAACGGGCCACACACATGCACACACACACACACGCACACACACGCACACGAAGGGCCCGATGATGAATTTGTTTATTCAGTTGTTAACAAAGGATTCAAGCACTGCTTTGTGGACCTTTCACTCAGGCTGAGCCCGCACTTTAAACATTTTAGCCATCTTTGCGTGGTACCCTCTACCCCTGTTTTTCTTCTCCCTTTCCCTATCCTCATTGGTCCTATCAGATAGAAAATCATATATTTGTTTCCCCCTTAGACTGATATTTTCTCAACTGGCACCGATCATGTCTTTTCTGGTCAGTGACTTGTACTGAGGGCACTTGTGTAAAGGCAGGATGTGGAACTTGTAATTGCAGTTTAAATATTCAGTGTGCCTCATCCTCATTAGAATTCAAAATAGAGCCTTGTCTGAGTCTGACTGAGGGAGCTGATTGTGAAAGGCCAGACGAAGAATTCTGAATAACCTGGGTTGAAGGGCAGTACTGCTTCTCAGCATATTGACTATTACGTAATGTTGTCTAAGCATATGTATTGTGATTGTAGCAAAGTTTCAGTTTCGGTGACGTGGTTGGAAATAAGCTCAATTGACCCAGCATGAACACTCTCGTAGCCTAGAACCATCGAATCTGCCTTTCAGCTCATCACAAGGTCAGTCCTCATAGTGTGAGAGGCAGAGAAGGCAGGACGTAGGCCCATGGGTGTGGAGCCACCTTGGTTCAGACCTTGGGCTCTCCCACTTAACACCCTGCTGACTTGGAGACGTTGTTGTCCTCTCTAATTCTGCTTCCTGCTTTATGAAATGAGAAGAGTGATGGCAAGTACACATGGTTATTTTGTGGATTCAATGAGAAAATGTAGGGAAACATAGTGGCTGGTACAGTGAGTCCTAAATTAATGTCAACTGTGTGGAAACACCACCACCCTTCTGACAGTTTGTCATCCTGCGGTGACTTGAGCGTTGTTGTGCCGCTGGAAACCATGCCAACGGTGTTTTTAAATACCAGCAGAGTCACCCATGGTGGACAAGTTTCAGCAGAACTTCCAGATAAAATGGACTGGGAGAAAGGCCTCTGGTCTACTTCTGAAAATAAGCAGGTGAAACCCTAGTGAATCACAACCAGAGGTTTAGTCCAATAGAGTGTGCTGGAAGATGAGGCCCCTAGGGTAGAAGGTTCTCAAAAATCCACAGTGGATGCCCACATAGCAGGGCCAATCAAGATGTTAGAGAGCTGGGCAACCTTTAGTTCTCTTGTACATGGGGGTGGTGGGAGCCACAGCCAATTCAACATCAACTCACAGATTTAAATGGATGGCTGAATGAGTTGCCTCCTCCCTAGACTTTTAACTCTGAAGCCGGCATGTTATTCTTGTTAAGTACCACTGAGCTAGTTCCAACTGGTAGCAACCCTATATACGGTTTCCAAGGAGTGTCTGGTGTGTTTGAACTGCCAACCTTATGGTCCAGTGCTAATCCTACAGCACCACATAGAGGGCTTTTCAGGAGAATGGAGATGACCTGAATAAATAATGTACTCTGAAGGGAGTTGTGCTGTGACACCATGATAAGCACCCGACTACTGACCACAAGGTTGCCAGTTCAAATCCACCAGCCGTTCCTCAGAAACCCTATACAGGGTTGCAATGAGTTGGAACCTACTTGACAACCCACAACGGCATTCGGAAGCTAAGAAGTTAGCATCATAATTTCATTAGACATGAGATTGGTTTTTGTTTTGTTTTTTCCCCCCAAATAAACTGAAATGTAGAATTTCTTGGCTGAAGTCCACTATCTGTTATGCAACTTTTCTGCGGCACTCAACATGCTTTTTCTTGTTAGCTCTTTTGCATGTTAAACCCCAAGCTGTCAGGTCGTTTATTTGACTCTGATCCTAGACACTCTTTAGGAGTCCCAGTGTGGCACCGTAGAATAAGCACTGAACTGCTAACCACAAAGTCAATGGCTCAAACCCATCAACCGATCCTTGGAAACCCTAATCAGGGTCGCTATGAGTCGGAACTGACTCAATAGCACTTAAAAACAACAACAAGAAACTCTTTAGTCCTTCAAAGAATTGTTTTAAAAAACCATAGTACCACGAACACTAGTAATCTAGAACAAAAGAATAACTGTGGACTTTTAAAACTTTATCTCTTAATGTTTATCAAGAATTTTTTTTTTTTTTGACTGCCTTTTGTTAAAATTTCCTTCTCTTATCCTTTGCTGAGATAATCTACTTGTTAAATTCTTCAGCTTCCCCCTTTTTGGGGAAACTTTCCTGTGGATTGAGTGAGGTTTTACAGAGCAGATCATCGGTTTTCACGTTCAACAAATGGTAGACTTTGTTTCATCTCAGTGTTTTCAAGTCCCTCTCCCTTCTTCTTTACCTGCATAGTGACTTGCTCTAAAGTGGTCTTGAGTGGCTCAGACAGGTGGCACTGTAGGACAAGCACTGGACTGCCGTTCCATGGGAGAAAGTTTCTGCTCCTATAAATATTTACAGCTTTGGAAACCCTACATAAAGTCAATCTGAGTCAGAGTGGACTTGGCAACACACAATAACAACTACAAAGATTTGCAGCCTAGGGAACCCTATACAGGGTTAACATGACTTAGAATGGACTCACTGGCAGTAGGTTTGGGGTTTTTGTTTTGTTTTGTTTTGTTTTGTTTTTCCGGTTACTAGCCCAAGGAGAGTCTTGTGGAGCTGTAGGATAAGCACTGGACTGCTAACCACAGGTCAGCAGCTCAAACCCACCAGTCATTCCTCAGAAACCTTATTACAGGGTCTCTATGAGTTAGAACTGAGCCAACGGCACTTAACAGCAATATGATTAAGTGCCCTCAAGTCCATTTTGACTCATAGTGAACCTGTATAGAGTTTCTGAGGAGTAGCTGATGAGTTTGAACTGCCGACCTTATGGTTCAAAGGGTTAATCTTGCGGCCCAGTGCTTATCCTACAGCACCATACCAGGATGCCAGTGTACATGTTGTGGCTGCTAAGTGCCATGGAGTCAGTTCCGACTCACAGTGACCCTGTATAAGGTTTCTGAGGAGCAGCTGGTGAGCTTGAAACACTGACTTTGTGGATCAAACTGACCTTGTAGTCCAGTACATTAACCCGCTGGGCCACACCAGGATTTCTATATATAAATATAGTTGGAACTGACTCAATATATGTAGTGAGCTCACCTAAGCGACTCTGCAGTCCAGCGCATTAACCCACAGTGCCACACCAGGACACTCTACTTACACATTTTTCTGTTGTTGTTGTTGTTGTTAAGTGCTGTTGAATCGGTTCTGACTCATAGCAACCCCGTATTATAGGGTTTCCAAGGCTGTAATGTTTGCAGGAGCAGAAAGCCTCATCGTTTTCCCATGGAGTGGCTGGTGGGATTGAACTTCCAACCTCATGGTTCACAGTCTAGTACTTATCATATGGAGCTACCATGTTCCCCTGTCATTTTTTGTCTCTGTTTTTTTCTTCTTCTGTGTCGTCTCCATTGAGGACAACAGTTAGGTCTCAAACTTGTGCCCTTTGTTTCCTGAAGCCACTTCCCCTACTCGCTGGGATGGTTTCACCTATGCCCTCTCCCGACTTTTAGTATCTGTGCTTTATCTGAGGACAGTCCCCAGCATCCTGTCACTCTCTGCATGTTTTCCACTCCTAGACATGCTTCCTATTT